CCCCCAGTGGGAGATGTGCAGGAGGCAGCTGATCGATGTTTCTCTCTCATCGATGTTTCTAACTCTCTGTCTCTCTCCCTTCCTCTCTCTGTAAAAAATCAATAAAATATATTAAAAAAAAATGTATATTTTTTTTAAAAAAAGAGTGTAAACTCTAGAACCAGGTTGCCTGGGTTTGGAGCATAGCTTTGCTGCTCACTAGCTTGTGACTTTGAGCAAGTTTTAAAGTTTCTCTATGCCTCGGTTTCTTCATAGTAAAATAGGATTAAAGTAGTAACAGAGCTGTGATTAGGAGCTTATATTAGTACCGTATAATGTGTATGTGTTTGATCGGTGTTATTATTAACATTTAGTCTACAGCATTATAGACATTTCTTATCCGATTAATAATTTTAATAATAAATTTATCTGTTCTGAATTTTTGCCTAAAAAGAAGTAGGCCTTTAATCAATCTATCGGTGGCCTCATCTGGCTTTGGCACTTGAAATTACATTTGCTCATGTCCCTCCTTCTGTGACTCTGGCGACTTTTAGTTCTGATTCACTGTCTCATTCTCATTTTATCTTAGTGCCATGGACTGCCCCCACTGGTTCCATCTGGGTGTGCTTTTCAAACCACCCCATCTTCTGTACTGTCATTTCAGGTTCAACCCTTTCAAGTCAGGGATCTTTCTGGTCAGTGAAAAAGGAAGCAAAATTGCAACCGAATCATTCTGCATTCTTGCCTTTGTGTATAAATATTAATTTTTAAATATTGTATGATTTATCCAACACTTGGCTTATTTGTGTTCAATAATAGTACCAAAGCTGCATCTCAGAGGTGTTAACATGTGACAAAACATGCATCTTGAAGTATAGGAATTAAGGAAATTGCATCTACAATGCCAGACATGGTGCTAAGCATTTTGTAACATCGAATTCTCATAATAGCCCTATTGATTAGGTCCTATTTTACCCCACCATCCATTAACTGCAGCTTACAGCTATGACTTAACCCAAGGTCAGGAAGAGCTGGACTTGGGGAATGAGGCCGTCTGACCAGAGTTACCACACTGCTCTATTAGACACCTGGATCCTAACATATATGTAAATTTATAAATGTTTCTTTAGGGGAGGAAATCTCATAGGTTTATATCTTCAACTGCAAAATTTCTAAACAGTGGGAAATCATTGATTAAAAAAAGCAATTTTGAGTATGTGTGTGGTTTAGAGTTTTTTCAATGTTTTCTTTTTTTATGATTTTTTTCGTCTGTGAGGTCAGGGACTTTTGTCCAGTGTGTGTATTTTGTTCACTGCTATATCCCCAGCATCTAGAACAGCGCCTGGCATGTTGTAAACACCCAGTTCAAACTAGTTGAGTGCTGAATGAATACATGAAAATGTCTTTTTGTTACAATAACACTTGATTAAGAATGTGTTGTATAAAAGAATTAAGACAATATGAACACTGCTGAGAGGACTTCCTGGATTCCCCATGCAGAAAAAGCACCTCCTTCCCCTCAGTCTGATCTGTATGGGTTTGTAATTGTCTGCTCTGAATAATATAGATACAACGCAGTTCCTGAAGCTTCCAAAGAGCTCGTCTTGTATCCCTCTGTCTGTTAAATGAGTACATGAATACATTCGTAGTATACCTAATAGATAAGAAAGGTCCCAGGGAAAAGTAATATCATTTGAAAAGAGGAATGATAACTGCTCTTTCACTCCTTCGTCATTTCTGTTTTGTTTTGTTTGTTTTTTCTAGTTGTGTGTCACCAGTCTTAAAGGAATAAGCTTCCATTCATTTACTATTTCTTTTTGTAGCACCTTGGTAATTAAGTTCATTTCTCTTCCTGGAGAGGAACAAAATCTGAGCTAGCTGTTAATTGCCTTTGTCTTTATTTGTAATCTTTTAGAAAACAAGTACACAAGCTCTTCCTTGAACAATCGTGAATTTTTTATAACATCTGTTTACTTAATTTAAAAAAAATGTATAACTATGAAGATTAACAATGGACCTTAACTGGATATAAATTCAGACATATATAGGATCCGTCTTAATCTCAGTCAACCCTTTCAAGCAGATGCCATATTTTGGGGATAAGGAAATTGAAATGTACCAAGGAGCGGTAAGTTACATGCCACGGGAATTACTGCAGTGTTTTTGGCTTCTTTGATTCTGGGTAGTTTTTCTTGATGTTGGCAATGCATTTGCATTTCCTTAATATGAGTTATTGGGAAAATCAAGTGGTTGACATGTTTGATTTTTCTTTCTTTCTTTTTTTAAATATGTTTTTATTGATTTTAGAGAGAGAAGAGGGAGAGGGAGAGAGAAACATCAATTGGCTGCCTCCTGTGCATCCCCCACTGGGGATCAAGCAGGCCCGAAACCGGGGCATGTGCCCTGACTGGGAATCGCAACTGAGACCTCTTGGTGCACGGGTTGACGCTCAATCCATTGAGCCACACCAGCCAGGGCCATTGTTTGATTTTTTAATGTTGTGCTGCTCTTCCAAGTGCAGCTCAAGAAAGCATAGGACTATCTAACATTGGAACATTATATATAAAATTAGTTAAATGGGATGCAAGACCTACAGGTTGGGGGACCTTCCTCTTTCCACACGTGCCACAAAACTCTAAGACTAAACAACCAGTAGTGGGTAAAAAATAAATTGAGCGATGGGGATCATTCTGTCTGAATCAGACCCTGAAACTGTGGCTATGACTGGAACATGAAAAAGGAATCTTTTATTACTTCATTTATTAACGTGACTTCGGTCCCAGTTCAGACCCAGCTCCAAAGCCAGTTCAGTGGTGTGACAAAAATGGAAACTGTAGTCCTCATCAGGGTGTCTCCTTACGTGGTTCATCACTCCCCCAGGCCTCCCCATCTCTGCATCCTTTCCCCTTCGCTCTTCCCTTTGCCGCAGAAGCACAGGAGCAATCATTAGTCCTGACCCCTGGAAAACAAACAAAAGAGAGCCCACACAGATTCATCAGTTGAAGTGGAAGGCAATTTACCCAGAGCAAGAGCTCGCCCCATTGTTGCCAGATGAATGGTGCTGGTCGCTAGAGCCGAAGGAGGCTGCCACGCGAAAGACCTTTGATAATGCTGCCTTTATGGGAGCCCAGCACAAGGGGCACACTGTCAACAGAGGCGGGGCCCTGCCCTGGCGCCCTGATCTGCGGGCTGGGAGCAGCAGGCGCGGGCTGGCCTGGCATTCTCAATGACGGCCGGGGCGGGCTGGGTGCCAGTGCTGTGCATTGGTGGGGTTTCTTTCCAGTTCTCTGAAAAGTGTTGCTATGAGTCCCTTTTAAACCATTCATCTTTTGAAGACTTCTCCTTAAAGGAATGTCCTAGAATTTTAAAAATACATATTTATTTTTAACTGCTAATGATAACCGCGTGCTGTAAAATCGGTATTTACTGAGTGCCAGGCGTTATGTTACACTTGTGACAAATAACACAACAGCCCTGGATGCTGGCTGTGTATTGTTCTCTGTACCCATTTTACAGATGAGGAAACTGAGGCTTAGAGAGGTTAAGTACTCGAATCTGTTAACTGTTGGAGCTGAAGTCAGATCCTAATGACTTTCAGGGCCTTCAGGGGAGGAAAGAATCAGGTAGAGGAAATACCTACCTGATAATTCTCATAGGTAGCTGAGAGATTCCGTGAGACCATAGATTGGAAACCATCTTGATAAACAATCACTTGCTAAGGACTAGTATAACTAGTGAATCAGCTTTCAAGCCTTACTGGACAATGACTTGCCCACACCTTTCCCTCCATGCCCACAGCTTTCTCTCCACTCCATTTCCTTCTATTTTCCTCTTTTCTTTATTATAATCGATTTCCCTGTTTTCAAAGAGGTATTAAAAATAATCCTGCATAAGCAATCTAGGCTTGGAGGCCATTTTAAGACAATATCCTGGCTGTAAGGTGATGGCAGGAATGTACTCTTGTTCCTGTTTGGAGTTGTTCAGTCAACAAGTCCCATGAATAGCCTCCGACCCTCACTGGGCAGTTCCCCTTGGGAGCCTCCTGCTCACAATATGAGGGAAAGTGTGGACACTGGATCCACCAGTTCCAAACATGTGTGCAGGCAGGAAGCACCCTCTTTTCATCCCCTCTCATTACTCAGTTCTGATCTACCAGAGCTTGCAGTGAATGGCAATTTCTGGGCCAGGCCACCTTTTCTATTAGTAAGTCATTGTATAATAAGGCCCAAAGCTGGATTGGTAAATGATACTGCACCTTTGCATAAGACTCTACTTTTTCAAATTCCATCCCCATCCATCATCTCAGTTACCCTGTGACATTTGTAGCATCGGCTTTCGTATCCCCACTTTAGAGATGGGCACCAGGGAAGGGAAAGACACAATCTATGCCTTCTCACTGGTTCTGGTATTGTTTTCACTTTTTTATGTTAGACTAGATAGAGGCCCAGTGCATGAAATTCGTGCACATGTAGGGTCCCTAGGCCTGGCCGGCGATCAGGGCCGATCAGGGCTTTCCGGCTGCTGGTCAGGGCCTTCCTTCATTCCACACCACCCCCTGGTGGTCAGCACACATCATAGCGAGTGATCAAACTCCCGGTCTCCCAGTCGAACTCCTGAGGGGACACTTTGCATATTAGCCTTTTAGATGATAGTTAGATAGATAGATAGATAGATAGATAGATAGCCTTAAACTGAAGGAGTGTTCTTTCTCCAGCTTTATACCACATGAAGTATTTTTCTTTTTAGCATTTTTCTTTTGAGTGAATGGTGGAGGTGGGTGCCAAGAAATTGAAGAAAGCAGGGCTGCAGTTGTCCTGACTCAGTGAATGTATTGGTGAATTTATATTTATGCAGAGCTAAGATTCCCCATGAAACTAAAACCCAGGGGAATATCCTAGTGTGCCAGGATTTTTTTTCCCCTACTGAGATGAAAACAAACTGACCAAACCAGTTGATCACTTTAAAGAACCACACCTCTTGTTCTCTTCTTATGGAAAATTTTGGTTTTCTCCTCATTCATAGCCATCTCCAATTTGCCCCTTAGAAAAAAAATTGTGTAGGAATTTAGAATTCTAGTAAAATCAGGCCTGGGTTTTTAGTGGGCCTGTTGCCCCAAGGCCTTTAGAAATGTTTAGCAGTGGAACATCACTTGTGGAGGCCTGTTAGGGTGGAAGGGCGTGTGGTGGAGTATCTGAAGGCATAGGGCATGTCTGAAGGCTGAGTCACTCAACTACCTACAGAAGAGCACCTCCAGATTCCACCTTTATTTTGTTAGGTGTAACTCCTCGTGACCTAGACAATTTTATGAATTCTTGTGTTAGGTAACCTATAGGATATAATTATAAACATTGGAACTATATAGTGGTATAAGCCAAGGCCAAGAAAAAAATATATATAATGTGTTGCTTGATCTGACCATGGTTTGGTTTCGTTTTGTTTTGCTTTTCTAGGCACAGTACGAAAACCCACCCCACATCTATGCTCTTGCCGATAATATGTACAGAAACATGATCATTGACAGAGAGAACCAGTGTGTCATCATCAGGTACGGACAGAGCCTTCTTCGGGGTGGAGGCCGTGAGGTCATGCTGTAGTTCGAGCTTCTACCGAGAAGCAGTGCTTTCGCAACAGCTGCTGGCGTAGCTGAGTAACAGTCACGCTGCCGGCTTCGTCTCGGTTCATTTTCTAATTCCAGATCATAAAAGCTTTTGCGCTTCTGTGGGTTTGGGCTGCTTTTTTACAAATTTTATACCCCGTCACGTATGACATTAAGGCTTTAGGGCACAAGGTGTAGCCAGATCTTCTATTGATCATCACTGGGGCCTTGGACTAAACCTCGTGAAACCCCTTCCCTCCCGTGTGATCATGCCGTGGCTTGACTCTAAGTTGAAGAGCCTTTATGTCACAAGCTTCACTGTTCTGTCAGCTAGAGTCCTATTCTCCAGGTCCCTCTTTTTTCTTTTCCCAGTAATTTAGTTCAAGTTTGAACTTTCTGGTGTACTTCGTCATTTGCTTTTAATTTTCTGTGGGCATTAGTGGTAAAGGCCAGCATTACCCGTCTGTCTGTAGCTACGTGTCAAAATCCTTTTAACCTGACCTAACTCTGGGTCTTCGCTGGGTTTACGTGCCTTTACGATTTTGTTTACTATTATGAACATTTGCAAACACAGAGAAGAAGTAAGCATCCATATTCCCATCGCTGAGAACTTGACAGCTGTTAACATTTTGTCATATTTGCATTCATCTTTTTTAGTTCTTTAATTTTTTTTATCTGAAGCACTTCTGAAAAATTTTTTATTAGGGATATTTGCAGACACATACAAAATTTAAAAAGAGTGTTATAATAGCGCCTGTGTGTCTCTCATCCAGCTTGTACATACCGCCAGTCCTGTTTCCCCTGACCCCTTCCATCCTGCTTCCACTTGGTCATTTAAAGCAAATCCTGGGCAGCAAATCATTATTTGTCAATAATGTGTTATGCACCTCTCAAAGATAATTTATGTCACACCTAAAAAATGAATAATTCTTTTAACATCACCCTGTATTATCAGTTCTATTCCATGACTGTGTTGTAAATTTTGTTAATAGTTTGTTTTTATTTGGGTTCCAAACAAAGCTCACACCTTGCCCTTGACTGCTATGCTTCTTAAGTCTCCTCTTTTTTTTTGTTTTCTTGGCATTTATTTGTTAAAGAAAAAGCTCTTTTGTCTTGCAGAATTTTCTGTAGTGTGGGATGAGCCGATTGTATATGGTTCCCTCTTTCTCCTGTAAATTGGTGTCTATAGCTAAAAGCTTGATCAAGTTCAGATTCAATTCTTTGGCAAAAAAAAAAAAAAATGCTTCATCAGTGATGCTCTGCACTCAGGACTTTTATTGGTGAATAACGCCTGTGGGTCCATGCATTAGAAATTCTCACTATACTGTCATTCTTTAATTAATAGTTAAAAAATAGTTATTTTCCCCCCAAAAAATCATTACTTTCTATTCTTTCTTTCACATTTATCTATTAGGTTAACTTAAAATAAAATCTATTGGGGAGAACTAGATAGTTTGATTTGTTGTCTTGACCAATTTTTTCAAAGCAATGAGTTGATGCCCTAGCAACCTCCCGAGGTGATATGTTTTTGGTTTTCAGTATCATTCCAAACCAGTGGATTTTAAATATATTATCTGCTTAAACATTGCAGTTTTCCTGTCAGGCTCAAAAGGTCCTAACTTTGACCTTGGGAGCCCTTTATATTGGCTCCCATGTCCTCTTGATATGACTGGTCGTCTTTGGTAGCTTTCTTGTTTAAGATGTTCCAGACTCACCTTGTACATTTCCTGCCAAGCCCTGGATCAGCCACTTCACCAGAAACCCTCGGTTCATTTTAATGGGCAATGATCTGCAAACACCACCAGCCTAGTCACTGAGTGCTCGCTCACTGCCATATGTTGTCAGGGCTACTAGTTCTTGTCAAAGGACAAAGGAATATGAATTTTTTTAAGGAAAAAAGATGGAGCATAAGTTCACACTGGTAATTTTCAGTTCATTTTAAGATTATAGGATTTTTATATTTGTATCTCGTTTCTCTTAATGCTGAAAAATTCGGTTCCTACTGACATTATCACAATTATTTGATTTATACTATGTGTATAAATGTAAATATAAATACAAAAGAAATAAATATGTGACTATACAGTTATATATAAATATATAAGCATATATAAGGGGATAAATCAAATGAGTGATTTTGTTAATGATTTAAAATAACAGTACCAATGTTATTAATAGCAATACTGGATTAACTCTAAAATTTCTTTGTTGTTCTTTTTGTCCTTGGCATGTACAGTCAAAATATTGGGTTTTAAGAGCCACTTAAAATAATCCTTTTCTGTGTCATTAACATTCCAACTTACAGTTAAGTCCATTTAATTTCATTTTGAATTTTAGGGGTTTAACATTTTAAAATTTTAAATTGTATAAAATATTTACATGGTTCCAAAGTCAAAACTATAAAACAAAGAACACTGAAGTGTTTTCAAGGTAAATATAGACCATGATATTTTACTTCTAAATATTTCCATACACATCTCTGGAAAATAACTTTTTTTCCCCTTAGCCCCAGGACCAGTATCACAACTAAATAATTAATAAAAACTTAGTATCATCTAAAAATAAGCA